GGGGCAATATTTCAACGCTCGTGTTGTTTCTCAGGTAAACCCTCGGCCAGGACTGGAGGGAAGAGAGGATGCCGGGAGAAGGTGCTTTCCCTCTCATAGAGGGAGGTCTGTGGCGTGGTGGCTTTTCTCATTCCAGCAGATAATCTGTCTCTCTCTCTCTCTCTCTCTCTCTTGGTGGTTTTTCTCATTCCAGCAGATAATCTCTCTCTCTCTATTGCTTTGTTTTGGGTTGCTTTGCTTTTCAATGGCCTGTCCTGCTGGACTCTGGATCTGTCCCGTGGCTGTCTTTGCTCCCGGCGAGGGAAATGGGAGGAGCCCATTCGGGGCTGGGAAATCGGGCCCTTTGGACTCAACGCGGTCCTGTCCAGGGAGGGAGGGCTCAGAGCCGTGTGGGGCAGGACAGTCCTGCCCGTCTGCAGGGAAGGAGGCTGGAGGCCCGCGGTTGCCACACGTTCCTCCCTGGCAGGCCCTCTGCTGCAGGCGTTGTGGCTGGACCCCTTCCGGGAGGAGGGAGGGGCTTCCCCCCTTTCCTGCAGGTGGCTGGCTGGCGGGTCCTGGCTGGATCTGGGTTCTGTCCTGCTTGCCCTCATCATCCTTCCCTGGTCACCTTGGGGTTGATTTGGCCACTCTGGCTCAGACATGGTGTGTTGGGGGGGCACCACCTTGCCAGCAGGATGTCCTCCGCCCCCCACCCCCCGCCCCCAGTCCTGCTGGGCTCCTCTCCCATTGTGCTTTTCTTCTGCACCCTGTGGCCGGCGCAGGGACCGGCCAGCTGGGAGGTGTGCCCGCCTACTTTGGGCGAGTTGCTCCCCTGCCCTGTGAATTGTGCCTGGCAGACGTGCCAAGACGTTCCCTCAGTAGGGCTGGCATCACAGGTTCCCTGCTGCACGAAGGACCAGCTCTTGAATGCGGCTGTTCCCTCCTCCTGCTCCTCCTGGTCGGTCGTTGTGCGTGGCTGCTCTCTCCCCACCTTTCCTCCTCCTCCTCCTCCTCCTGCTGCTGCTGGCCTGAATCAAGGGCGCGCCAGCATGATTTGGCCAAGGCCTCCTCCCTTCACGAGCCTCCTCCGTCTGCTGATTCTGAGCACCCTGGTCGGCCTCTGGGTTGCTTTCACTGCACTCTCCCCCCCCGCCCCGCCCCGCCTCGCGCTGCTTGACCCGGAGCTGCTTAACTGTGGCCACAAGGCTGCCTTTCGGATTCATGTGCTGAGGATGTGCCCGCAGAAAGGGGTGCCTGCCAGATCCACCACGGGTGGACAAGGTGGGCCGGCCGACTCCTATAGGGTGGCTCCAGCCCCTGCCCACCCACCACCCTCGGCCGGCGTCCTTGGAATGACCCTCGTGTACCTCAGGGGAAGCAGGAGGTGGTGTTCTTCCCCTTGGGCATGGCTGGCTGGGAATGGTGGATCAAGCCAGTCCCATTGGGGGGGGGGCAGGAAGGCTGCTCTTCCGCCTCTGCTTCCAGCGCTTGCCTTTTGACCAGTGATGCTCAAAGGGGCTTCCTCGGCTGCAGAGAAGGCCCACCGGGTGGCGCCTGTGCCCGTTGCCCTGGTGAGACGGCTTGCATGCCCTCCAAATGAGCTTGGACACCAGTTCCCATCAGCCACAGTCAGCTGGCAAGGCAAGGGATGGGAGTGGAGCCCATCTGTAGCCCCCCCCCCGAATCCCTGCCAGGTGCAGGAAGGGAGAGTGCGGGAACACCGACACCCCCGTCGTCGCCTTGCGCAGGGACTGGCCTCTTCTCTCGCCAAGTGGCTGGGAATCTGCCCCAAGGCCCCACGGCCTGTGCCAGACGAAGCTGGAGAACCCGCTGCCTTTGGTGCCCCCCCCACCAAGCATCCCCACACGGGCTTTTGAGGGGTGGGGGGAACCTCATTTTGCCTTGTGAAGGGGCCGGACGGCTCTTGGCCCCTTTCGGCTGCAGGTCCGCTCCATGAGCTGGGCTGCCGGCAGAGCCGGTGGATTGCTCTCCCTCCCTCTCGTGGACAAGAGAGATCCTCGGACACTGAGCAGAAGCTTTCAAAAGGGTTCGGCCCTGTTTGGGGGGGGGGGTGTTTGTTGCTGCTGCTTGTTGAGGGGCTGTGCTGCAGAGGCACCGGAGGCTCAGCATGACTGCAAGGTGGTGCCGGCAGCACCGCGTGGCCCCTGTGGCAAGCCCCCTCCTTTCCGCTTTGGCCTTTCCCAGCGTCCGCGTGGATCGCTAGGATCCAGCCACGCCGAATCTTCCTGAACCATCATCCACTTCTTCCCGTCGCCTCTTCCGTGCTTGTCAGCTGCAGCTGGAAGGCTGAGTGCAGGCCTGCCCCTTTCCCCCTGAACAGACCGGGTGATGGGACTGGCGCTGCCCTCTGACCCCCGCCCCCATGCATGCCCATATAAACTATGCAAGCAGCTCTCGCGAGCCGGAAAAGGCCCTCCGGACCTTCAGACGCCTGGAGGGGACCCAGGCTGGCTGTGTCTGACTGCCCCCCCAGCCCCCCCCAGCCCCGGTTCGGCTTTTCTTTGCACACAAGACGCGTCCCTTTTTGTGCGCTTCTCATTTACCTCTGGGAGGTTCAGAGCCAGGGCGCGTTTCTGGTGGCCGTCTCTTCTGGTGTCCGAGGGTGCTGCTCTCTCAGCCAGAACAGCCGACTCAGCCCTTTCCTGCCCGCTCTCCGCCATGAGAGGAAAAGAGCGAACACAGCCTGCCCTTCAGGAACCGGTTCGGAGATTATGGGGTGGCGGCTTCTTCTCCCCGTGTGGGAGAGGCTTCCCTGGCGCCCAGGCTGGCCCTCCTGGCCTTTGCGGTGGGGAAGAGAGAGTGGAGCTGGTCTCTGCGCAGACGTCTCCGAGGTCCCGTGGGGAAAGATGCCCAGTGGCGCTGGCAGAGGCCTGGGGGTGGGAGGAGGACGGCCCCTTGGCATGGCCTGGCCACCTCTGCCTGGAGAGAGAAGCAGCTGGACTGCCTTCGCTGCTGGGGCGGCCCCTCCCAGCTGCAGCCCAGAGGGAACGCCTTTTGTGCTTCTGGGGGGGGGGCAGCTCACCCCCTGTGGGTGGCCACCCTCCCCTTTCCGGCTCGGCTGCCTCTTTTCCTTACAAATTCACAGCAGCTAGTCAGGGTCCAACATTGATCTAAAACTGAAATTGAGTTTTAATCCGCGGTGAGACGAAAACTACAGCACCGCTTTTCTCAGTTAAGGAAACCCGTTAGCAGCGGGAGTCGTACCAAGGAGAATGAAGAGAGACCGGGCATTCCCAGCCTGCTTCACGCTGTGCAGCTGCTTCCTCACACCCACCGGCCTCCTCGGGATCCCCAGGTTTGGAAGCTTGTGTAGCCCCTTAGGGAGCGTGCCGCCTGCTGCTCTGGCCCCCAGGATCGTAGGAGGATGCCTCCCCTGTGGCCAAAACTGGATTTTCGGTCGTGCTTCAAATACTGAGAGTCTCGTTAACACTGGAATTGGGCTCCCGAACCGGGCGTGGGGGGGGGGGGCTACAGGTTATGCTTCACTGGTTTCTCTCTTCCCTGCCGTTCCTTTGATACTGCTCTCAAAATTTCAATGTTTTATTTTAAAACAACAACAACAACAACAACTCTACAATACTCTGGGAGGGAGGCTGTGTCTCTTCTTGGGGTGGACCCATGATATACCATAACAGAAGGTTTTAACTTATTTGAGGGCAAGTGCATGAGATTGTGTCAATACCTTTTATTTATTTGTATGCACTTTTAATATGCAGAATTTATATTTTTATGTTTTAAAGAATCATTTCCTTTCCGGAAGAAGAGTTTGGATACAAGGTATTGGATGATTAAAAGTGGAAAATGTAATAAAAGTCCAATAAATTTATTACAATGCCCCGTGCGTGCAAATGGATTTGCTGCAGCTGTCTTGGTTCTCCTTTTTCTCTCTCTCTCTCTGCCCATCCCTCCTTTCTCCTGGACCACTTTGCCCATAGGTTGCCCTCTAGCAAGGCCTGCTGCCTTGCGCCATCCCAGTGTGGGTCAAAGCATAACCTTTCCACTGGGAGCGCATGGCTGCCCCATAGCGGGGCCGGGACTCTGGAGGGAAGCAGAGACGGGTCCAGAGGACTCACTGGTCGCTCCGGCAGAGGTCGGGCCCTCTGTTGCTCTAGGGGGTGTGTGTGCGGGCGATCACTACTGTTTCCTAGAAAGAGGTGTCGGAGGCGCTTGACAGCCCTGGTGCCGATCCACCCACATAGGCCAGGACAGCTTGCTGCTCCGCTTAGATTTGAGGCCATAAACCAAGCATTTCCTTGCTCCTCCTCCTGTTCCAGCTCCTCTTGATTCCGAAGCGGGGAATTCCAGCGCCCCCTTCCTCACCACTTCCTTGAGGGATCAGGTGGTCCCTTTAGACCCCTTAACTGTTCCCGTACCTTTTTTCCAATGGAAGGAAGGGCTCTCCTTTTTTTGCACTCGTGTTTCACACACACCCCCCAATCAGGTTGTACTTCCATGGTTAAAATCCCCTTCTTTTTATCTCTCACCCAAATGGTTACAAGATAAGCAAGTCAGGTGTTGGAGAGGAAGGAGGAACGAAGGTGGTTGGCATGGCGTCTCTAAACTCCCACCTGGGCACTCTGGCACCTCTCTCTCTCTCTCTCTCTCTCTCTCTCTCTCTCTCTCTTTGTGTGTGTGTGTGTGTGTGTGTGTGTTTTCTGTGCGCTTCTGCGAGAAATGAATGAAGAAGAGGGGACCATTTTATTGGCTGGTTGGTCCCCCTTGCCAGGGCAGTGCCATGGGAAGCCGAAGGCTGCAGGGTCTCTGCAGCACAAGTTTGGGGCGTCCTGCTTTGCTGCCCCCCCCTTCCGCCACTGGGTGGGATCAACAGCCGTGGGGTGATGGCTTTGCTTCCGG